TTGCCAATCTGTCTTGCCAATGGGATTTTGGCCTGCATCAAGAGGAGCATAGTGTCTAGATCTAGGGAAGTAATGCTACCCCTCTATTCGCTTTGGTTAGACCACATCTGGAATATTGTGTCCAATTCTGGGCACCACAATTCAAGAGAGATATTGACAAGCTGGAATGTGTCCAGAGGAGGGAGACTAAAATGATCAAGGGTCTGGAGAACAAGCCCTATGAGGAGCGGCTTAAGGAGCTGGGCATGTTTAGCCTGAAGAAGAGAAGGCTGAGAGGAGATATGAGAGCCATGTATAAATATGTGAGAGGAAGCCACAGGGAAGAGGGAGCAAGCTTGAACAATGTAGCTTGGAACAATGGCTTCAAACTACAAGAAAGGAGATTCCATCTGAACATGAGGAAGAACTTCCTGACTGTGAGAGCCATTCAGCAGTGGAACTCTCTGCCCCAGAGTGTGGTCGAGGCTCCTTCTTTGAAGCTTTTAAACAGAGGCTGGATGGCCATCTGTCAGGGGTGATTTGAATGCAATATTCCTGCTTCTTGGCAGGGGGTTGGACTGGATGGCCCACGAGGTCTCTTCCAACTCAATGATTCTGTGATTCTATTCTATGATTCTATGATTTATCAAGGTCTAGCCTATGTTTTTATACTGGTCACAAATTAAACAAGGCCAAAAGGCCCTAATATGACTGCCCATTAGCACCTTGAAAGAACAGGAGAAATAAAATACACAAACCTATATAGAGATCAAATGACAAGAAGTCCATCATCGGTATCTTGGAGGAAATGCCAAAGAGCAGACAAGATAAGAGGCCCACCAAGTTCAGTCGCAGGGTTAATTCCCAAGTCACCTGCTTAGCGAGCGAAGGGAGAAAATCCATGCAGTCATCTCTGTAACAGAGACAGCCCCAGATTATATGGTCGATGGTATCTTGAACCCAAATGTATTTCACAAAGATCTATTTCTGCGTGCCCAATATCAGAAAGATTATTGCATGCTACACAGTGTCTAGTAAACATTCTAAAAAGCAAACCTGCCTCACAGACCTGATCCCAGTAACTAAAAAAATGAAAATCTTCAAAAGGAAAAAACCCAATTGCTAGTAGTTTCTGATTTCAACTGTCTGCCATTCTTTACATGAATTTGTTTATAAGAATTCTTCATATCCATAATACGCATAAAACATGATTGTCTTATGCTCATCATTAATCAATCCATCAAACTTTGTATTGTCAAAGGCTTTCATGGCCAGAATCACTGGCTTGTTGTAGGTTTGTTGGGCTATATGGCTATGTTCCAGAAGCATTCTCTTCTGACGTTTCTCCTGCATCTATGGCAGGCATCCTCAGAGATTGTGAGATATTCCTTAAAGTAAGAATATAATACTTCATGAAGATTTTTCTTGAAAGTGGCAATGAGTAATATCAGGAAATATCTCTTTACTGTGTGATAGTCTTTGAAAATCATGCAATTTTTGAAGGCTATTTGCAAATTTAAAACTGTTCTGCATAAAATTCGCACATGGTTGTTTACTTATTTTATTTATTTCGGGTACTTTTACCCCGCCCTTCTCAACCCCCGAGGGGGGACTCAGGGCAGCTTACAAAAAAGGCACAATTCGATGCCTATACAAATTACACATAATGTACAAAAAAACCATAGTTAAAAGCAGTTATCACAGTTAAAACAATCAAAACAACCAGTACATAACACATCATATAAAACTATTCTCGTGCTTAGCGTTTCATCTTTCAGAGTTACATAGTTCTAATCCATTAATCATTTCCTAATCATTGTCAAAGTTCTTTCTTTATCTGCCCGATTGTCCGAATGCTTGGTCACAAATCCATGTTTTCAGTTTTTTCCTAAAGGAAAGGAGCGATGTTGCAAATCTAATTTCCCTGGGGAGCGAATTCCACAGGCGGGGGGCCACCACCGAGAAGGACCTGCTCCTCATCCCCGCCAATCTCACTTGTGATAGAGGCGGGGTCGAGAGCAGGGCCTCCCCAGAAGATCTTAGACTCCGGGGTGGGACGTAGAGGGAGATCCGTTCGGACAGATACACTGGGCCGGAACCCTATAGGGTTTTGTAGGTCAAAACCAGCACTTTGAATTGTGCTCGGAACTGGATCGGCAGCCAGTGGAGCTGACACAACAGGGGGGTGGTGTGCTCCCTGTATGACGCTCCGGTGAGCAGTCTGGCTGCCTCCCACTGGACTAGTTGTAGTTTCCGATCAGTCTTCAAAGGCAACCCCATGTAGAGTGCGTTGCAGTAATCTAACTGGGATGTAACAAGAGTGTGGACCACCGTGGCCAGATCCGACTTCCCAAGGTTTAGCATGAG